GTGTGTGTGTGTGTGTGTGTGTGTGTGTGTGTGTGTGTGTGTGTGTGCAGGCCAGAGGTCAATGCTAGTTCTCCATCTCATTTTTTTTTTAGACAAAGTATCCCTCTGAACCTGACACTGGCCTATTAGATTAAACTGTCTAGTCAACAAGCCCCAGGGACTGTCCTATCTCCATCCCCACCCCCAGTGCGGGGTTTCCAGGAATGTGTTGTTGAACCTGGCTTTTATAAGAGTGCTGGGGACAGAACTCAGGTCCTCATGCTTGTGTGGCAAATACTTTTTCACAGAACTGTCCCTTCAGCTCCCAGTACTGTTTATTTATTTGTTTTTGGATGATGCATGACTTATTTCTGACTCTCATAATTTTGTGTTTTCCAAATTTCCCACATAGATTATTTCTCTATTCTCTATTTACAGCTTACCTAAAGAATGTGCTGGCTCTGGGACACATCAACTTCAGTGTCCTCAGTGGCCTAGAATTCCTAAGAGCAACCTTTACTCTGGGAGATGCACAGCTGAGGTCACATGGAAACCAAACAACTGTGCACAGATAGAAAACTCCACTGAGGCTTGGGCATCTTTGTGCCATGGAAACCCTTGATGCCTCTTCCTCGCTCATTCCCTAATGTGGTCCAGTGAGTGGCTGTACCACATGTGTGAGCAACTGCCTTGCTGCACAAATGCACTCAGATACTTAATTCCAAGCTTACTGATAAAGATTTGAGACAAAAGGGAGCTAGGTTTCAAGGACTCTCATGCTTTCTCCTCCTCGGTGACAAATGAAAGGAGAGCCAGCTTTTGTGTGCTTCTCCTGGATGTGTAAGTCACATCTGACAGACACTATATATTATCTAGGGCATTGTGCTGCCGGCCTTCTAGTCACGGTGACATGCATCTGATAGGAACAATTGAAAAGAGGAAAAGATAGATTCTGAATCATGGCTTCAGAGTTTTTAGCCCATGATCAGCTGACTCCATTACTTTTAGGCCCATGATGAGGCAAAATGCCACAGTCAAGACCATTCAGTGGGCAAAGGTGCTTGATTCTTAATGGTCAGGAAGCAGAGAAAGACAAGAGACAGGCTAGGGACAAGATGTACCCCGCAAAGGCACACTCCCAGTGATCCACTTCCTTCAGGCAGACTCTACCTCTCAGTTCCCACACCCTCCCGACACCACCATCAGAAGATTCATCTTCTGATGAGGTCAGAGTCCTCCTGATCCAACCATCTGTCCGTGACTGGGTTCACTAGTAGGAGACCAAGTCTTTGGGTGCCGCATGTCTATACTACAAGTGTACAGTGTGTCAGTTTGATATAACAGCACACCTTGAAAGGACTCCCATAGACAAGACCTTAATATTTAATATATGCACACCTCACATAGGTGTGTTTGAGGATACTTGATATCTACACTCAGCAAAATTCAAATTATAATGCATATAATCCATAGCAGCTATGGTAGCCATATTCTCATTAAGTCCCCAATACCAATTTCCCTTAGAGCCAAATGCTTGCACACTCTGACTGAAGTCTTCCATTGTTCCCACTCCTAAGTCCCTAGTAAACACCACTCCACTCTCTAATACTGTGAGTTCAACTTTTTCTCTAGCTCCACATGTATACAAGATTATAAAATATTAGTTGTTTTCTCTTGCTGATTTCACCAAACATGACCCCCTTCATGTCATCCAACTTGTTGCAGATAAACCACTTTCTTTTTTTTTAAGATTGAATAATTTCACAATGTGCATGTCTGCATGTATTACTGCCTGCGCGCACGTGTGTGTGTGTGTGTGTGTGTGTGTGTGTGTGTGTGTATGCATGTGCGTGCATCTCTTTCATTTTCTTTTCCATTTATCTGTCTACAAATACCTTAGGGTTTCACATCTTGGCCACTGTAAATTATGTCGCAATAAATTATCCCCTCAAGAAAGCAACTTTA